ATATATGTAATAAATGAACATATACAATATAGATATATTTGTCCATTAATATACAATATGATTTGATAGAAATATTTGTCTATTTATAGATATATTTGACAATATAAATAAATTAACATTGTAATATATATATATATAATATATATAGTATATATATATATATATATATATATATATATATATATATATATATATATGAGAATGAATCTATACTATTAGATTTGAAAAAGGAACGATTGAGATTAAAATATATTTTAAAATTTAATTAATAATTTTTTTTCTTAAATGATAGATAATTTATGAAAATCTTAATTTAATCTCAACTATTTATTTTCAAATATGATAGTTCTTATTGATTTTCATATTCTCATATAACTTATGTATTTTCATATGATTTGCCCTCATATTTGTCCTCATATATATTATCTTATTTATTTTAAACGTAGAACAAATTATGATTTAAAAAAATGGAAATTATTTAATCCAAAAATATACATAAATTAATTTAAAAACGCATACTTAAAAATAAAAAATCATTTATGTGATATTATTTTGAATGTTTATTTTCAGTTTTTTATTTTCAATTTTTACTATGCATTGAATTTTGAAGAATTTATTAATTTGGTGAATATTTAAAAATTCTTAAGGAAAGCACTAAGCAGTAGCATATTATTTACTTGCTTATAATTCAAAAAATATTATTTTATAAAATAAACTTTGTAATTAATAAACATTAAAAATTATATATGGTTAAAAAATATTAATATTGATGGAATCAAAAAGTGGGCTGACAAGTATTTCTTTGATTACATAAAAGAGATAGCGACAAATTATACATGTAGATTTAATAAAATTATATTTTCTTTGATGGCATAGAAAGCTAGGAAAGAAATAAAATTTATTTTCTTTTAAAATTATCAGTAAATTATCAGTTCTAAAAAGACAGTGATTTATACGTTGTTTTGTGTGAATATTATTTTAGAGCAATAAATATAATAATTTATAAAATTTATTGATGTTTTATTTAAAAAAAACAAATACTTTAATATTATTTTGATGCTTTTGAACATGTAACACATTAACGCATGTTTTAAAATTATTTAATAATTTTCTTAGATGATTATTATATAGCAACACATAAATACGATAATAAAATTTTAATCTTATAGATCATCATCAATACAATATTTTTTAATTTTAATTAACGATGACCTTTATTTGAGAGTAAAATCTTTATTTTTAAATACTATTTATAAAAAAATTCAAACTATTTTTATGAAATTTCAAATTTTATGAATTTTTTTTGTGGATAGAATGTTTTAACTGATTATTTTAAAATTTAATGGGTTAAAATTAGAGAAAGTGTAACGGCCACTTTTAAATTTTTGTTATAAATTAAAAAAGATTAATAACAATAAATATAGTAATTTAACAAATTGACTCAAATAAATATATAAATAAATAAGTAAATAAATTTTGATAAATACAATAACAATAATTATTAACTTTATGTATAATAACTTAGTAATGATAATATTAATAATAATAAAAATAATAATAATAAATATTATTATTATTTAAATTATTTGAAATTTAAAAAAATAAAAATATTTTATCTTTATATTAGTGCTTCATATAATTGTTTATAATTGCAATTTTTTAACTACTACAAACAAACTTCTTTCAAACTCATAATTTATGTTATCGAACTAATTTAATAATATCGTATGTCTGATATATTTTTATTGTATTCTCAGATTAAAGTGTAACTTTTGTTTAATGCATACAAACTTTTTTTATTTGCATGTTATTATTTTTGACGAGTTTCTTTAATATATTTTCTACATTCAACATTCTTATAAGATAAGAAGGCTAAAGTTAAAATTAAAACAAAATATCATCAATTACAATGATTCTTTTCTTTAATATTGTCATATCCAAATGCCTAAGCATATTATACTAGTATTAAAAGGGGTTCATAAGTATAACATATAAGTAAACTACTAATGGTACCTTTTTATCTAAATAAAATTTACACTATCAAAAATATTTTTCATTGTAATTAACAAAATTAAAATAAATATCTTTACACTTTCTCTCCTTTTTTTTCCATTGTTCCATCTTATTTATTTATATTATTTTAGTCAATTAATTTCGAAATTCAAAATTCAAAATTTTTAAATTTTTTCACACTCTTAAAAATTCAAATATTTTTTCCACACTTTTAAATTATCATTTAAGTATTTTAATAAAATATTATTATAAAAATTATATGTAATTATATATTGTCAAGTCTACATTTATATAGATATGCGTTTTGAAAATTTTTACTTTAGTATTCACGACGTATTTAATTAATTTCATTTATTTATTATCACTAAAAATATTATTTAGTATATTTTTATAATTTTAATAAAATTAATAATTAATTACAAAATTTATTCTCCATTTCACGAGCTACTATATCACATTTTTTTATTTTATTTTAATTAATAATTATTTTTATTTGAGAAGCAAAAAGCCATATTTAAATTAAACATTTATTAATGGTCATTATTATTTATTATTTATAACTTTAAAATATAATTTAATGAGAAATAAAAGAAAAATAAATAGATAATTTTTAAATTATAAAATTTTGAAATTTAAAATAATTTAAAACTCATGTTTTGTAAAAATCCATATGTACTGATATGGTACTGTTACTAATATAGATGTTTCATTTGGTTTCTTTTTTTTTGGTTAAGTTGGTTTTTCATTGTTTTGGATAAAATAAAAATTAAATTTCTTTTTTGATTATTTGTTGTTTTTATTTAAAAAAATTAAGTTAAACATTTAAAGAAAATTGAAAAAATGGGGGCGCTCCTTCCCCTTTTGTAAGATAGTTTTTTTTTTTTTTTTTGGTATTCATTTAATTTGATTTTGTTAAAAGAATTTAATTATTCATTAATAAATAAATCATAATGACTTTGGATTAGGTCTTTTGTTTTCCTTTTCTTTAAAACATAATAAATATAATACTTAGGCTTTTTAGAAACGGTCATTATCAAGATAATATCCATAAAAATAAGTTATGCTGCTTTATTTAACTTTGAGGAAATTTGAGATAATCTTAAACTTTTGATTTGCTGGATTTATAGCTTTAAATTTTCATACTTTTTTTGAACAATTCAAAATTAGATTAATTCAAAAAATCAATAATACAAACGATTATTAAGATCCAGTCTATTTAAAGATTTTTTTTTCAAAATTTTTATATGTTTTTCTCATATTATTATTCACTTTTTTTTTATTTCATGGAAATGTATTATTTTTATTTAAAAATTTTTGTTTACCGATAAAATTGTAATTTTTTATAATAAAAGAATTATTAATATATATTTTCTTTTCTATTGATGATTACCTATTGATCACTTTCCTTTTTGAATGTTTTATGTTTAATATTTAAATGTTATTTAATTTGTTCAGGACTCACTTTTTATTTTTTATGTCCATTTTATTTATAGAGTATTTGAAATCAGATAAAAATTTATCAGTATATTGATATTCCTTTGTTATTTAATTCTTTTTTTGGTTTATCATCATTGGTATAGTTTAGTTCGAAAGAATATCTCTAGCATCAAGTGGGTTAAGCCTTTTTCGATTGTAATTGCAGAAATCGAACTGTGGTCCTCGCTATCAAATTCAGTGTCAATCATTACTGAATCAATTAATAATTAGTCTTTGTTATTTAATTTTGTTATTAAATGTTAATATACAAATTGTTTTTAATACTGTTTTCAATTAACTAAAATATTAAATTAATCAACTAATTTTAATTAATTATATTAAATAATTATTTTTAATTTAAATGTACGATTTAATAACATTAAATTATAAATTGAAATTAATATTTGATTTTTTTAACAATAACAAGTTTAAAAATAAAATGTACAACAATAATAAATATTAATAAAATATGTTAAACAAAAAAAATTAAGTTATATGTATGAAAAAATATAGTATTATTTTGCACCGATCATACCATACAATTATGATATAAAGAATATAATTATTGTTACAATTATAAACACAAACACAAATATAATTATGGTTTTACAAATTTAAGCCAAATTGATACAAATTTATTGCTATTTTCTATTTATGTCTTTTTAAAATGGTTATTAATAAACAAATATTTCTACAAATTTATCATATTTTTAAAGAATCGTGGTTTCTTTATTTATAGTAAATAATTATTCAATTAATTTTTTTCAAATAATCATGAAAAATTGTTTTATAATAAATTAAAAAAATAAAGTTAAAAGAAAATAAATTTTTAAATAATAAAGATTTTTTATAAACGAAAAAGATGTATTATTGATATAAATATTTTTCGGTATGATAATAATAACAAAGACAAATTATAATGTTATAATATTACTATAACTTTATTTATAAATTATAAATAATTATAAAATATTTTTTAACTTAAATTTTTTTGTCTCGTATCTCACACAAATATACACACTACCACTACCTTAATTGTAATGTACGACAAATTTGTAAAGACAGCTGAAAAAGAATATAACCTTAAACGATAATCTTTAATTAATGTTTAATATTTTATTTTCCAAAATAAAATTCCCCAAAACAAACAAATTTCCATCAATGTAATAAGTTATAGACATCTTGCGAATCTTGAACTTTAATTTTTAATTAGAAGAAGCCTGAAAGAAGAAGTGGAAAAGGCTTAGAAAGAAGATGACAAGTACAAGCATATTCAAAGAGAAACTCATCAAAATATTTGCTCCCTCTATTTTCTATGCAATTCCACCGATATCTCTAATTTGCCTATACTTTTACTTTCACTCCTTTGCTCCATTTTTCACTCCTATCACTCACCAATCCTCACTTTATGCTTCTACGCCTAAAGGTAAATTCTCTAGAATTCTTATTTTAATTTGCTATTGTATGTAGTGAATTCAATCGTCTATGTTTATGTTATAGATTTTTAATTGTCATTTCAAGATAAAAATATATTTTTAAATCTACATAGCTTCTGAATATCAGAAGAAAAATATAGTTGTGTGTCTAAGTCATATTCTCACTCTCACCTCAACATTTTTATTTAATTTATTAATTTTTCAAATTATTATAAATGACGATATATATTTGTCTGGTGCGTGTCTGCTTCTTTGAATCTTATTTTATTTCTATGAATCTTACCATTATTTTTAAATTTTTGGCAGAAAGGGAAAAAATTAATGGGAACACATGTGACTATTCAAATGGCACATGGATTCATGACAATAGATCTCTTTTGTATGATGGAACAACATGTAAGATCAAGAAAAGTCAAAATTGCATCTTGAATGGAAGACCTAACTCAAGCTACCTTGATTGGAGATGGAAACCAAGTGAGTGTAATCTTCCAATTTTTGAACCAAACACTTTTCTCAAACTTATCAACAACATGCACATAGCTTTTGTTGGAGACTCTTTAGCTAGGAACCAAATTGAGTCACTTATTTGCTTATTATCCACTTCTTCAAAACCTAAACGTGTCCACCATCCAGGCTCTAGAAAGTGGTACTTTGCTTCTCATAATGCAACCTTGTCATTCTATTGGTCACCATTTCTTGTGAAGGGAGATCAAAGAAAACCCAAAGGGCCAAATTATAATACAATATATTTGGATCATGTAAATGAGAGATGGTTTAGGGATATAGATCAAATGGACTTGATTGTGTTATCATTGGGTCATTGGTTTATGTTTCCTTCAATTTACTATGAAGGTGATTTTGTTATAGGTTGTTTAAATTGTCATGGCCTTAAATTTAATTACACTGATATTGGCTTTTATGGTCCACTTAGAAAAGCTTTAAGGACTTCCATTAATAGTATAATTGAGAGGAAAATTTCTAATGGGAATGGAATTGATGTGATTGTAAGAACATTTTCACCATCTCATTTTGAAGGTGAATGGGATAAGGGAGGCACTTGTTCAAAGAGTGAGCCATATAGAAATCAGGAGAGGAAACTTGAAGGAGTGGATGCTGACATAAGAAGTATTCAGATAGAGGAATTGGAAAATGCTAAGCCAAAAGCAAAACAATTTGGACTTAATTTGGAACTGCTTGATATAACAAAATTAACATTATTGAGATCAGATGGTCATGCAGGTGCTTATATGAATCCATTTCCATTTGCTAATGGAATTCCGAAGTATATACAAAATGATTGTGTTCATTGGTGCTTACCAGGAGTTGTAGATACTTGGAATGAGATTTTTTTGGAAATGATAAATAAGGGAAAAGACCATCTAAAAGTTGAAAAGTGATACATTCAACATTTTATAATTTTGATAGAAGAATGATTTATTTTGATTGTGATCTTTTGATACATACATAATCTAAAGGATAGTATATGCTTTATTCACATTGATGAGTGTGATCTTAATTTGTTTCTAAGTTACATGTTCTTAAAACATTTGTAGATCAAATTAGTGTATGATTTCTTTCAAGATATCTCATCTTTTAAGTTTTGGTTTTTTTTATTGTTGATATTGTTATGAAGATCTGTAAAATAAAAATGAGTGAAATAATTTGAAATGTATTGACCGCACTGTTTTCAAGAATTTTTGACATAAAACACTAATTCTTCTGAATTTAATAGATTCTTCTGAATAAATTAAAATTACAGAACTCGCAAGAATGATAATTTTTTTATAATAGACGGTAACCTAAAAACATATTATTTTTTATGAAAAGACTTTTCAAATTTTGAACAGTATTTTCTGTAATTTTTTGAATTCCTTTTCTAGAAGGATTTAATTTTAAAACGTTCATTAGTTATATTCATTCCTAAAATAAATATATTTTGTATCGGTACATGTATAGATGTTATTCCAATTCCAATTGATTGAATGTAACGTACAATACATGAGTTTTCAAATATCTCTTTGACATCATGGTATAAAATAATATGTTCCATAATCAAATCTTGTTGTTTTTAATATAATATTGTCATCAAACAAATAACAACAAATTGAAGAAACATTGAATTATTTCAATTCAATTAATAATTATTAAACTATTTGATATTGATGAAATAGAATCAAATTATTAATTTAAAACATTTTTATATTAATTAGTAAATGAGAGTTAAATAAAATTTAAATTCTTTATTTAAAATATTTTTAAATAGTGAAAATTAGTTTTTAAATAGCTAATAATGACAACAATCCTCCACATATATAAAAAATAATTTAAAAAAAAATTATTGTTTCTTAGATTAACATCATAGATGGATGCATCAAATTGGTGTAGCAAGTTATATGAACCAGTTCTAGAATGATAATACTTAATACACCGTGATATTGATGTAATAAGCTATATGAACCAAGGATAGTTAATGTATGTGTTGTACCCCAAAATTTGCCCTCCCATTTTTCATACAAGATACAACCCTAGGGTTTCTCGGACATTCAAAATTGGTTCAGAAATCGATCAGACAGATTCTCTTCCGAGGCGGTAAAATCAGCAATTAGGGTTTCGCATTTCTCAAAAGAAAATGAGTTTTCAAAGTTTCAAACGGTCTTTACGGTCCTTCATGTGTTATCAGAGATGTTTGTGCCAATTTTCAAGCCTCGCATCGTGAGTTTGCTCAGTCAGTGGTTCAGACGACTGAAAATGACTCCAGTAACCCAAAAGATAACCTTTTGCGACATCAAGTTCAAGTGACTGTAACTTCTTCGTTATTCGATATTTTTTGGGCGTTTCTTTTGCGTATGACTCTCCTTGACGTCATCTCTATTTTTTCTTCACAAGTCAAGATTTGATTATGTGCGAAAGATCATCAGAAAATTCAAATGCTTTAAAGGTCATTTTGCAAATTTGACCTAATCACAACAAACTCTTGTCCAAATTTGCGAGGCTCACAACTTCTTCAATTTTCAATATCATGAAGTGATTCTTTTTGCAAAGTATCACAAATAGCATTGTCTATGAGATTACTGCAACGATCAAAGTCAAAGTGCGCTTGGAAGACCATGAAATTTATTAAAATTTTACAAGACATTCATTAATACTTTCAAGTCCATTTGCTTCTCATGCATTCATTTCAAATTCAATGTGCTAAATCCATGGATTCAAAATCAATTTCAAATGATTCAAGTTTGCAAGACATAATCAATTTGTTCATAAACTTCATTCAAAGTCTCATTATCCATTCAAGTTCAAAAGTTCTACATGTGAATCAAGTTCACATCGATTCTACATATTACAAGACAAGGTTTATTCCAAGTTTCCATTCTCAATTTCAAGTCCAAATCTTATTCCAAATTCAACTTTTAAAGGCTATATTCAAAAATCAACTCATCATTCTTCAAAGGATTTTGCAAAGCTTACAAGACTACAAAGTGACTTTTGAATACCTAAATCCTCATCATTATCATTCAATTTTCTTTTGGTACAAGGTTTACGTTCAATCTATCATCCAAAGTGTTGTTCAAGATCAAAGAATATTCAATTGTTAAAGTTTTACAAGCTTTCAATTACAAAAAATATGTTACAAAATTCCTAACAAAGCACTAAAACTACAAAGGGGTTTTCTTCATTATCAAGCTTTCTTCAAGTGCTTCAAGTCACTCGTCGTCAATCCAATGGGCCCGTACATGTAAACAAAAGAAGAGCATTAGTTAGCAAAATTCATGTTGGAATAAGATTGGAAAATTTCAAAGAAATCTCTATATTTTTATCATTAGGGATTGGTAAAAAGAATCAGAAATAAGGGGACAACGTTTCGTCCGTGTTTGGTCCATTGTAAATCGCAATTTTCAATTGGTTCATAGAGGACAAAATAAGGAGAAATGCAAGTCAAAATCAATAATTTCATCATGGTTTCAAATGCTGCAAAAATTAGTTTACATCACAATGGAAAAAAAACATAATCACAAAAAGCCAAAATGCTGTAAAAAATGGACTGCATTGCAGCCCTCCAAATGTTGTCCATAAGAGGCCAAAATCTGTCTAAATAGCTGCAAACATACAGCCTAAAATTGCACATAAATAGGCTAAGTCAAAACTGCAACAAAAAGAAGCAAAAACAGCATAACACAAATGTTCAAACCCATTTGCTTTTCCCCCAAAAAAGTTTTGTTTCTCAGATACAACAGGGCCATTTCGGGACAGCAAGGAGAAGAGAGAAACAATATTCATTATTCAAAAAACCAGCAGCAAGAACAGTTTAACAAGGCATACCAAAACCCCACAGATATCATCATCATTTTCTCAAATACCACCCTTCTGAAAAGAAGAAAATACAGACAAAAGGATAAGAATTCAACTTCCCTGTCAAGCAAAAGCCAGCATCAAGGTAAAATCCCTATCCCTTCTCTGCATTTATCTTGAAATTTTGTCTTCTGCATATATTCTGTCTTTTTTAAATGGTCAAATAAAGAACAAATCTGAAAAATCATCAAAAACCAGAAAACCATCATCACTCATAAAACAGAACAAACCAACAGAACCAGAAAACCAGTAAAAACTAGAACAGAGCAAACCAGCCAAACAAATTATCAAACCAAATCTGAAAAATATCATCAAACTAGAAAACCATCATTACTCATAAAAAATAGTAAGAACCGGAACAAAACAAAGTCGAAAACCATCTCAAAACCATCATCATCCAAAGACCAAAAATATAACAATCAAGAAAACCAACAAACCTGGAAAAACAGTAAGAACCGGAACAAAACAAAGCCGAAAACCATCTCAAAACCATCATCATCCAAAGACCAAAAATATAACGATCCAGAAAAGCCAACGAATCCAAATCCGTCCCAAACCATCATCATCATCGTTAACCCTGCCGCGTCTCACATCTCCCTCTGCCTCTGACTACTTGCCGCGTCTCGCGTCTCCCCCCGCCTCACTCGATCACCATCCCAACCTTCACGACCAATCTTCAAAACCGGCAACATGCAGAATCAAAGAGTGGAAAACGCGTTAGACTAGGACCAAGTTCAGAGAGGAGTATGACGGCCAAGATCGGAGAGAGAGGGAACAACGGAGCCAAGTTCAGAGAGAGAGAGAGAGAGAGAGAGAGAGAGAGAGAGAGAGAGAGAGAGAGAGAGAGAGAGAGAGAGAACGTTGGAACAGAGTGAGGAAGAGAGTTTCTTTTTTTAGCGTAAGGACAAAAAGCAAAATTAGAAGAAGAAGGCGGCCTCTGAACAGAGCGAGGAAGAGAGTTCCCTTTTTTAGCATAAGGACAAAAAGCAGAAGAGGAAGATGGAGATGGATCAGTTTATGGAGAGAGAGAGAGAGAGATTTATGTTTGTTTTTGTTTCTTTTACAGTATCAATAATGCATAATAATAATAATTAAATGAAAAATTGATCTTCCCAATAACAATAGTTGGCGGAGGCGTTTCATTGTGTTTAGGGTTACAAAATCCTTCACTTCCTCTTCCAGCCGGGTCAGTTTTTGGGCTTTATGGCCCAATCCAATATCTGCTACCATTTTCCCTTTTGTTCTAATAAAACCATAATTATTATGAATAAGCAGTGTAGTTCAGTTGGTAAAGTGTATTCTAGATAACCTAAATGGCTTGAGTTTGATTCCTCCTGTAGGCATTTTTGTTTGATTTCTTTCAACTTTATCTTCTCTAATTTTTTATTTATATTTTTAGTTTTAATAAAATATTTCAACTAACCTTAAAAAACATACATTTTTTTATATACATAATTAATTGATCTAAACTTTGTGATTATTTTTTATCAACTTCTTTTTTTTTAAAAATAAAATTAGTTGTAGATAAAATTATTAAGTAATTTACATATAACAAAACACTAAAAAATAGTAGAATTTAATTTTTATCCTTCTTTAGATTTTATTTAAGTAAGTAAAAATACAAAAATAATACATGTGATTTAATCAATTATTTTATTTTATTTTTAGAATAGGTTTTACTTTCCTCTTTTCAAGTAAAATACTTAAAATTTTATTTCCATATTTTGTTGGTTAATTTTATTTCGTAGATTATTGTAGCTTTAATTAATCGCTCAAAATTCGATTTGGTTGTATTGTTTGCTATTTGGACCTTTTTATCGCATTTGACTTATCCCCATTTGTAAAAATTATACCCCATTCCCGAACACTTTGTAATAGCGTAGAATTTCAATTCTGCAATTTACTATTTTCCTTATACTGTATAGTAATTAGCCGTGTATGGCAAGATTCAAAAATCAATCGCTAGATAACATAATCAAAGAATAAAATAACTTGAAACAAACACACTTTTTCACACGCGCACCTCTAGGGTAACCTCGCTCGTCGCCTC